ATATTTTTAAATATTATTGAAAATGAATAGTAACTGAAAAACAAACAAAAAAAGTGAATGCTTTAAAATTAAAAAATGTGGTTCATCATGTATTAAAGGTAGAAATTACATGGAAATAGTAAGCTGAACTTGAAAATCTTAGACATAGAGACTGTGATGCACATATAGTCAACTTATACTAAAAATATTTTAACTGGTTGAGAACTTAGGGTAAAGACTGTCTATTTTATAGATGAAATCTCTCAATGGACATAGTCTGCCACCCACTTGAGCTCATGCTTATAACACTGAAGTGTCAAGACGCCTCACTTGCATGGGCACCATCCCTAAAAAAATTCTTAGCAATATGTTCACATGCTTATATATTTTTTTAAAATTTGAGAGGGAAGATATTTTAACTGTAATTGGTTAAGACTGTTGTCTCATTCTATTCTGGTTTTCCCTCCATCACACTTCCCCTTTGTTGGATGGGTTTGGAGTGGCCACAAGAATTTTTGGATTCTGGGTAAGTGAAAGTTCAATCTGGGAGACACTTATTGGATTTAGTCAATATATTTATGTGAGATGGAGTCAACTCCCTGTATGATTAAATTAGTGCTACTGTCTGAGCCTAGAAATGGCTTCTGGGAATAGTCCATGCCCACTATACCTTACCAATTGTCATGGAAACATAAATGTACAGGCCAGGAGCACTATTGATATGCCTTACCCTTCCCTCGTGGTGGAGAAACACAGTTTAAAATGCATGCAGCAAAATAGAGACAGACTCATACATAGAGAGCAGGCAGATAGCTCTGGTGTGTGTGTATGGGGGTGGGAGTGTTGAGTGGGGGAGAGTGGAGGGATTGAGAAAAAAAGAGAGAGAAAGAAATCATGGACATGGACAACAGTGTGAGGATGGCAGGGGTGTGTGTGTGGTGGAGGTAGAAGAGGTCATAGAGGGGATAAATGGTGATTAAAAAAAAGTAAATAATTTTTTTAAAAATAAAAATAAATAAAATGCATGCAGCAAGGAGCTAGTCAACAAATGTGTAAAAGTTATTCAGACTTGAAAAAAACAAATGCAATGACTCTTTAAGAACTCAAAGTTATATTTTTCAGAAATTGGAAAAATAGCACAAACCTAAACAAACTGCAGAAATGTATTCAAAAAGTTGGTCAGGCTCACAGACAATCTTTTTTTTTTTTTTAATATACTTTTATTGATTTCAGAGAGGAAGGGAGAGGAAGAGAGAAATAGAAAATCAAAGAGAGAAAATCATTGATCAGCTGCCTCCTGCATGCCACTTACTAGGGATCGAGCCCACAACCCAGGCATGTGCCCTGACCGGGAATCAAACCGTGACCTTTTGGTTCATAGGTCGATGCTCAATCACCATGCCAGCTGGGCCAGAGACAACCTTTTAACTAATGGTTGGAAAAAAATTTAGAGTATTTAAGTGAAAAAAATGAGAAATTACAGACTTCTGATTTGGATGCACATACGTGAAGAGTGTTTTCTTTTGCCACCTTTAATTTTATTTCTCATGGGAGTTAAAAATAGTAATATAAAATTAATGTGAAATATAAGTGACAAATGTGAGCAATGTAATCAATAGAAATCATTCTTATCTTAAGTAGGGGATTTGAGAAAGATTTTTATACCATTCGAAAAGTCGGAATTTGTTAAATTGAAGAGATACATTTTGAGTAGAAGAAATGTCAGGCCCTGAAATTGTTGTGAATATATTAGAAACTTAATATTTATTTGATAGTACGCATAATGGGATCTCCAGCCAGTGATTCCACACTGCCCTTAGAGCTCCTAGTTATCATTATCCTTTTATGCCAAGAGACTAGATTTTGATTCTGGGTGGGTAAAAATGAGGTTGAGATAAGCTGTTTCCAAATGGTTCAAAGGACAGTTCCCAATGCTCCTAGGAAAAAAGGTAATGTTAATAGGTTCAACATGTATAGCTCTGTAATTTTTTGTATTTTAAAAATTATCTCAAATAATCATTTTAAGAACTCAATAAAAGTAAGTAGAACAGTTATTATTACCATATTACAGTTGAAGAAATTAAGGTACAAAGACATCAAATGATGAGTTTAAGGCTATAGAGCATAATAAGGACACAATTGGGATAAAGCCCCAGATGTTGCCCTGGGTCCAATGTCTTTCTCCCCTCCTTATACCATCATCTTTCCCAAACTGTCATCACCATCCCAATGCCTTCTTCCACATCTATCCTATATAATAAAAGGCTAATATGCAAATCGACTGAACAGTGCAACGACGGGTCACTATGATGCACACTGACCACCAGGGGGCAGAAGCTCAATGCAGGAACTGCCCCCTGGTGGTCAGTGCACTCGCATAGGGAGAGAGCTGCTCAACCAGAAGCCGTGCTCATGGCTGGCAAGCGCAGTGGCAGTGACGGGAGCCTCTCCCGCCTCCATGGCAGCGCTAAGAATGTCTGACTGCAGGCTTAGGGAGTGGGCCTGGATTCAAGAGGGCACAGGCCTGGCTGAGGGACCCTCCCCCCCAAGTGCATGAATGTTGTGCACTGGGCTTCTAGTTCTAAATAATATCCCTGGTTTCCAATATTGTTTAGAATTTTTTATGTTGTTGATCGATGAGCAGCCTAGTGCCTCTTTACAAGAACTCTAGACAATTACAACAAAGTTCACTTCTACATAAAAAATATTTTCGAGTAAATGACACATAGTTTTAAAAAATCTATAAATCAGCCTAAACATTTCTCCAAGACTTGAAGGACAAAATGGACAAGAGTTATTCCACAAGGCCTGCAACCATTTTCTTTGATCATGAACTCCACTTGGGAGTAAAGAGCAGTTGTCTATAGATTCAAGACATAGCCCATAATTGCAATAACTAAAAAAATGTATCGAAAAAAACCTAACTATTCATCTATTATATTTATTAGCTTCTTGGTTAACATGTCCACAGGCTAATGCCACATCTTCTCCCACATCTATTCTATATAATAAAAGGTTACTCAAAGCTAGCACACAATAATTTATTTTACTTTAACATTTCCAGATTTAAAAAAAGCAAAATCATACTTATTAAAAACACTACATCACTTCAACTTTCAGTTACTTCTCACAACTAGTTTTCCCAGAGTCCTTATGTCATCTGACATGAGTCCAGGGCCTCTGAAAAGAAAGCCACGGCATGGAGGCTTCGAGCAAATCTGGGATGACTGTGTAAACAGGTCTTAATGAATGACTTTTGGCCTAGTTAACAAAGTCTTCTTCCTATACTTTGGAATTCAGATGTTTCAGACACAAAATTAAAATAAATGCCACAACCAAATCATGAATACAAGTCCAAATGCTAAGCAATTGCTTCATAACCCCTAGGAGATGTTCTGATTAAAATGAGTCACATTGACCTTGGATGACACGGCCTAAGGGCAATTATTTCCCAAGGGACTTAATTAAATGCAATTAGACCAGTGTGAGTACATTTAACGAGGCCCCTTGTGATACCTATGTTTCTAATTTATTTTCCAGCAACTTTCACTAATGATTTGATTCACTCAACATCTATCAATGGATAATGATTGTACAGTCACAGCTACAAGGTGATGGTGAGGTCCCTGGATCCCATGATTCAAGATTTAAAGAGAAGAGAGACACATGACAAGTTAGACAGTCATACAAGGATGTATGTGTTTATGGGCCAAATGGATAGTGGGAGAAAGGGCAAAATAGAGTCAGGTGCTCACTGTGGGTTTGAAACAGGCACAGATGGCCCTAGTGACAACTTGGAGGACATGGAGGTTGTGGATGGGAAATAGAATGATAGAATGATACCTCAGAATCATGGAATTCTAAGCTGGAAAGTATTTTCGCATTCATCTTATCTCATAACCTCATTTTACAGTGAATACGCTACAGTTCTTACTGGGTTATCTAGCTTACTTGAAGGCATTTTATTTTGGAAAGGAGAGCAGTATGAGCAAGCTGAGTGGTACAGATGTATGAAGTGTATTTTGGGGGTGGCATGTTGACCAACCGAGTAAGGTAAATAGGACAGGTAAAATATTGGTTTAAAAGACAGATGTGTGCTATTCATAAAATCCTGTTTGGAGTTTGAAATTTATTTTGTCAACAAAAGGAATGAAGACATGCATTTGAATTGTAAAGTCTTACAATTAAACTGGTATTTTCTAAAAGATTAATCTGGTAATTGTGTCCCAAGTGTATGGAAAACAGAAGAGACTAACACAGGCCTGGACTAAGCCAAAATTAATTAAAACAAGAGCCTCAGATGGGAACAGTGATCTCTAGCAATAATATGAGAAGCCCAAATATTGTGCAAATTATTTTGGGTAGGGAAGGAACAATATCAAATGTGACTCCTAGGTTTAAAGCAAGGATGCCAGCAGACGACAGGCAGCAGATGTTGTCGGAGATGAGAACCACGTTGAATCCAGGAGAATTAAGGAGACACTGAGAAGAAAAGCAGTGGTCCAGGACCAGAGAATTCTGGGAAGATTGAGGAGCTCATAGTCAGGAATGAGCCAGGGTCCAGATGAACAACCTGGACCTGAGGTGAACTTGAGCACTTCAGTATGAGTAAAGCTGTGTCTTAATAAAAAGCATCCCATTAGGGGCCAGGAAGGCTCAGTCACTAAAGGGAAAGGTACAGCCTGCCCAGACCAATGGTCAAGGGCAGGAAATTCAGAATGGACTCTAAGATCATAACCCAGAACAGCAGCCTAGGCAGCAGCAAACAAGGAGAGCCTGGTGAGCAGAGAAGACAAGGATTCAGGCAGGAGATCATAGTTAGGTGTGGATGAGCAGCTGCAAATCTAGAGGAGCAGTATCAGGGGGCGGCGGGGGGCTGCGGGGGGAAAGGAAGAAACAAGTGTGGAAATTAAATTTTTAAAGATATATGGAAGTAACCATCATAGGAAAAAGCAGAACATGGTAGGATTCCTTACATAACAGTACTGTTTTCATTTTAAATTATATGGGTGCAGGGATTGTGTATGGAAACAGAACATGACATTGTCAGCGAGGCTACCTGTGCATATCTGGTTCTGTAGAATATCAAGAAAACCTTTGCTCCAACCAGGAAGTAGCTGAGATGTTTCATTCTGTGATATTAAGGGGCTATCTTACCCTAAAATTGCAGGCAGAAGTAGGGTCATGCCCACTCCTAATTACAGAGAGCAGGCTGGAAAGGGGATTCATTCAGATCTGATTTTGTTCTTGAAAGAAATAAACAAAGGAGAAAGAGATGGTTTCCAGGAGGAATAATGAGTTTGCATTTTGTTGTGTTAATGTGAAACTGACAGCAGAACATTGAAGGAAAATTCTCTACTATTTAGCTGAAGGAGGATAACAGCTGGAATTCTAGATTTTGGAGTCATACATAAGCTGATAAATGAAGGTGAGTAGGGGAGGCATTGTTGCTTATCAGCAGGAGTCACAACTGATATTTACATGAAATTGTTTCTGTTACCTCCCCTTTGAGGGTGCTGACTCATTTCACTCAAAGGACAGCATGATGGCTATGGAAGACTTTGGCCTCTGCTGGACTTGAGCATAATTAGATGGACAGCTATCGAGGTTTGTGAATTGCAAACCCATCTGGAAGCGTGACATGGATTTAAAAAGAGATCTATCGCAAAGAGGTGGCAGGCCAGAGCTTAGTGGCTGACTGGTCATCAGCAACCACTAGCCATATGCTTAATAAAGCAGAATTTATTGTTCCATCAGTCACTTGAGTTAAGACTGGCTCATGTCAGCCTTTGAAAAATCAGGGAGATGTGGCTGAAAAAGATTCTCTCTTGAGGTTTCAGTTATTTTCTGGTTGCTATCATAGCATCCTTATCCTGGCCTTTCACATCGTATCCAGGAAACTTCTACCCTTATTTCAGCCTAAACTACAGAGGCAAAATAAAAATAAAAAAAATAATAAGATAAAACCAGTCCAAAATATTCTGTGGGGAAACTGCTTTGGAATAAAGATTTTCCTTATTTATATGCATTGATTTATAAAATGTTTGAATTTAGAGTACAGTGGCCAAACTCTTGAAGTACTCTTTTTTTTTTCACTGAGCCAACTCTAGTGCCATTAACCATAGGTGAACGATGGGGTGGGTATGACATGGAAATGCAGAGACAGCTCTGGGTCCATTGGCTTGGTGATAGCAAGAATGAGTGTGTTCCATGCCAGCCCTGTTGAAACGCACCCAAGTTTGGAATGACAATTTAATATAAGCAGCCAAACATGGACTTAGTCCAACCTCTAATGTCCTACTAAAGCTGTGTGATGGCTCATAAAGATAGCTCTGTCTCTAGGAATTTTATGGACTAAAGCAGTGTGTTGAAGTGATAAATAGCACCCCCAATACCTCCATTAAGAGCTATGTCTATATTGCTTTGGACCACCAGGCAGCAGAAAGAAAAGTCCAGCAAAGGGGAATTAAGTATGAAGTCTGTATACTTCTTCTCCTTCTCATTCTGCACGAGCCCATTTTTTTTAAATCTTCAAAATGGAAAGAAAAAGTTCCAATAAACAAATGAAAGAATATTATGGTATTCAATTGTTTTGAGTAGGCATTTTCCACTGTCGTTAATGTCCCTTCTGTAACATTTCATGATTCCTGACATGTTTCTTTCAGAATTTACCGCCACGTACCCATACTTCCTAAACATCTTTAAATTTAAATTCAAATATTTAGAAATATATGACACACTGGGTTTCCTTGTAGCACTAGTTTCTGGGGAGCTCAGAGCTAAATTCAGTGATAAATTTCTTATCCCAAGTGCTAGATACATGCTGTTCTGCCTTTTTTTTTTTATCTATGTTTGCCCTCCTTTAAAAAAATCTCTATTACAAGTATAATTTGGCAAGTTTTTAACCTCTCAATATGGGGTTAAATTAAAGAAAATC